TTTGATCATTAAAGCCTAATAGCCTCAACGAAAAACCCGACCAAGACTGCGTAAGTCCGTTAGCAATTATGATTGAGATAATGAGATATGAGCTTGAAAGCATAACAATCAAGTTACGAAACTACTTATCCTAACTTCTCAGTCTATGTTCATTAACTTTTTACGCTCATGACTAGGGCTGCGTTATTTGGCACGTCTGATTTGGTTGATGAGCCTAATCTAACATGGTGGACGAATGTGACTGAAGCTAGAACCATCACCGAACAGACACATTGTGTCGCCTTCGTTTTGACGGTGTCTCAACATCCTCTTTTTCTTTCAATCTATCAATCAAACATAAGTAATTCCTACTCAACTTTCTACAACCGTTTCTCACATTCTAGGTATTTCCTAATCTATTAATTTTAATAGCCTCTCTTATCTTTCTTTTAAATACAGATGTACCATAATTAGCAAACCTATTAATTTGAGACCATTTTATTTCATGTCCGGTATCTTCATGTGTTCGGCCACTTCTGACCCTTGGATACAGCTACCTTTGCAAGCATTTTTGTGTTCTTCCAATCTTCGTCGAATAGGTCGGCATGTCTCAGCAATATACCATCGACCACATGAGCCAACAATCTTGTAACTTCCGGATCTCGATAATAGGTCATATTTCTCTCTTACTTATGCTATAACAGATAAAAGTGTGAGGGTTTCTTTGAATATTGTTTTAATGCCGCATTTATTTACTAATTCGCCAATCTTTTTTGAGAGAAAGCATGACGGTAAAATTATGGACATTGTTAAAGGTCTTAGTCTGACTCTCTTTGACTAAATGGTCTCTGTCTGAAAATTTTTTTTTCTTAGTATAGAGATATTATTCTCAATAAGACCTAAAGGATAACTTTTTTCCAGGAATATATTTGTTAGCCGTTCCAACTCTTTAGTCAAATGTTTGCTACAGATATTTTCATACTTCTAAGAATCATTGATTTCAAAATTCTAACCTTAGTCTTGTAATTATTGTTGGAAAGAATATTAAACAAATAACCAACATATTTTGGCTTCCTTTAAACATCTCTTTTTAGCTTACCCTTTTCTTCAATAATAAGAACGTCCAGAAAAGATAAGGACTTATTCCATTTACATCGTTAACCTAATGTTTCTTTCAAGCTGGTTGAGTAAAAATAGGAAATTTTTTAAATAGTCCATGCCATGAGGCCAGATGACAAAATAGTCATCCATGTATCTAACCAACAATTTAGGTTTTAGTATTGCCACTTGCAGGAAGTATTTCTTCAATTTTGTCATATAATTGTTCGCTAAGTTGGCAAACAGGCAAGATCTCATAGCTAATCCTTGCGTTTGTTTGTATAGCTTACCGTCAAAGGTAAAATATGTGGTACTCATGCATAGATTAATAAGTCTAATAATGGAAACTATTCTCAGCCTTATTCCTTGTTTTATTTCTGGATGTTCTTCCCGAGTTTGTATCAGAGTTTGAATAGCTCCTTGCAGAACATTAAAGCCTACTAGCTTATCCTCTTCTGAAATTGTCTGCTGATCTATCAATTCCACAAAATAATACGAATTTTGAACTGAATATAGCTAATAATTGGCATCTGACAGTGGACTTGATACATTCTCAAACGTTTCGCCGGCATCGCAGTCGGCATCATCAATGAGCCTTGCCATTCTCCGCAGCAAGCTACGAACTCTTCAAAGAGACAAGTGAAGTCAATCCTCGACCAGCGTTCTGCTGGAAACGGTGACACTATCACTACTCTCTCAGTCCTGGCCTATCTATCCACTCTTTACCCTCTTATCCCACTGCCGCCTTTTCACAACTTTTAACTTGTTTACATTACAATCATCAAAATGCGTGCCCTTTTGTGGCAAACCGAGTGTGGCCTCATCACACCTGCTATTTACCCCGACACCTTTCTTTTGATGCGCTTATCTCACTCGGGCCTCCAATCTGGATTTTATGATTGTCTCGTAGATCCGTTGCTTATCTTTCTAGTTGACCTATTTTACTCGGGTCCAGGCCCTGTGTGCATTTCACTCACTGGCGCTATTTCTCCAGGCCCTAGAAGCACATACACCGCCGCTTCACTGAGCGAAGCGCTTAAGCTCTGATT